GGTCCTGTGCAGTGGCTCACACCTGTAATCCCAAAACTTTGGGAGGCCAAGGTGGGCAGATCACCTGAGGTCAGGAGTTCAAGACTAGCCTGGCCAACCTGTCACTGCTAAAAATTAAATAATTAGCTGGGCGTGGTGGCTCATGCCTATAATCCCAGCTAATCAGGAGGCTGAGGCAGGAGAACTGCTTGAACCCAAGACACAGAGGTTGCAGTGAGCCGAGATCCTGGCATTGCACTCCAGCCTGGGCAACAAGAGCAAAACTTCATTAAAAAAAAAGTATAATAACCCTTATTCGAAAGAAATCTAATGCTAGTGAAGGAAAAAATATAATTATCTAATATCAGAAGAGATACCTGTGGATCTAAGCTTGAAGCTTTGTGTAAGCTATTTGGGTAAGAATTTTAAAAAATAAAATAAAACTGATATTGTTAGAGGCGACTACGGTGAGTCATTCAGTTAACACTTTCCTTTGCTTTCTGATGCAATTCCTCCTTCTGGCTGATGTTACATCTTCCCTGACATATTCCCTCCCTCTCTTATTTCTTAGTATTGGTGTTACACCAGACCATTATGCTTTGCTTTCAACCACATGTAAGAATTTCCTCACTGATTGTGTTTATTTCCATGTCTCTTATTTTCAGCTTCTATAAACAGATGTTTCCTAAAGCTGTAACTTCCACACTGATAGCTCTTCAAAGCTTACAAGTCAGAGTCACTACAAACCACATGCTCAAACCAGAACTAGGTATCATTCCCATGAAATGTGATCCTTTTCTTCTTAAACCCTCATCTTAGTTAATAGCATTGCTGTCAGCTACAGAGCCTTTCCTCTTGATTCTTCTGTCTCCTTCATAATTTTTTTTCAATTCCACTTCTAAATATCTTTACCAACTAATTGTTTTCTCTAGTACAGTGACTTAGTTTTCATCTTTATCATCACCAACTGTCTCCTTGTGTTCTCACTGGTTTCTTTATTTTCAGTTACCACATGCCATCCCAACCTCCTGCCTTTCCAATCTATCTCCCTACCACCACCACCAGTCCTAGCCTTGAGACAATGTAGTTTATAAAAAGGCTTAGGTAAGGTTAGGATGATTGCATCTTGGAGTTCTCATATAAGGCATTCACACAATGGGTAAGAATTTGGCTTGATGATCTCTAAGACTGAACTGAAAACCAAGCACCAAAGACTAATATAGCATCACTGAAGTTGCTCAATCAAAATCAGATTTCTTTGCCCCACCACAATGTACTGACTCAAAATCTTCTGAGTTTAGACTCGTGAGTTATAGTTTTGTAGGCTTCCCAAGTGATTGAAATACTCATCCATTTTTTGGACTCTAAGATCTTATTCAGGTATAAGATCAGTGATTATAACCGTTTAATCAGAGTCTAATTTGCTATCCTTAGACAATAGTTACAACATTATTTTTTACAATGGCAGCATCACACTAAATGTAAGGCTTTCTAAGTGGTTTATATTAAATTTTTAAAAAATCATTCATTTGAATGTATGCATTCTGATAAATTTGTGAAAACAATTACATCACATTACAGGCAAGCCTCGTGTACATTTTTTAACACATATATCTAATGAGTTTTCTTTGTTTACACACAGATGTTAATAAGCTGAACATGAAGAGCTCGAAAATATATCTAATAAAAATAGCAGTAAATGTTATTCTATGTAAAGTATTTTGTAATTAAACTTAATTACATTAAGATGAAAACAAGGTTTAGCAGGACTGTAGGAAAAAAATTGGGTAAAACGAAAGTCCTTAAAGTAATTATTGCTTTTCAGATCTTTTATAGCTAATGAAATGATTCCTGCCCCACATACGTACATAACATTTTCTATATAAGTAAATTCCTATCGGCATTAGTAGCCTATGACCTAGCAGTAGAAATAGACCCCTATATATTTAATAAATTTTATTGTCAAATCATTAATATAAATTTAATAAACTTTATTGTCAAATCATAAATGAATATTATGAAATAATAATGATAGGAATGGGATGTGCCCAGTGGCTCACAGCCGTAATTCCAACACTTGGGGAAGCAGAGGTAGGTGGATCACTTGAGGCCAGGAGTTCTACTAGCCTGGCCAATATGGTAAAACCCTGTCTCTACTAAAAATTAAAAAATATATATCCAGGTGTGTCTGTAATCCCAGCTCCTCAGAAGGCTGAGGCACAAGAATTGCTTGAACTCAGGAGGCAGAGGTTGCAGTGAGCCAAGATTGCACTACTGAACTCTAGCCTGGGCAGCAAAGTGAGACTATGTCTCAAAAAAACAAAACAAAACAAAACAAATATATATATATATATATGAATGATTAATACTTTATTTTGTAAAACATTCTCTCCAAGGAGCAATTTTGTATATATAATTGTGTATGTAAACTTTATGGCATACCAAAGTATCAGAAACTGAAATCCAATCTCTATAGGAAGCCCATGGGAACGTGGATGACTAGAAATATGGATATGGGTATATTAATGAGCAATGAGATATGTGTTTTTTATACTTAATGAGGTTATGTAAGTGTTTTGTATTTAGTTGTATTTAGTCTGAACTATCCACAATTTCTAAAATTAAAAGTATTTTGTTTGAATATTAAATGTACAATTATTTAGAGTAAGAATACATTTTCCCATAGAAAATTTTGCAAGGTGTGCTGAGAATCCCAGGCTAGCTCATAACTCCTATTAAACCTATTATGACTTTAATTATAGTACTAATAATACTATCTAAAATTTAAGATCTTAAAGCAAAACAGCAGCAGGGTAGAAATAAGAGGAAGAAGAATTCCATTCCCTTCCCCTTTCCCTTCCCCTTCTATCCCCCTCTCTTCCCTTCCTTTTTTCCCCTTCCCTTTCATTTCCCTTTCCTTCTTCCACTTCCTTCCCTTCATCCCTTCCCTTTGTACAGCGAAGCTACTGTTAGACATAGTTTGGAAGAACTATATGCTTCCTTGCTGTCATTACTTGTTGCCTCGCCTACCTCCCAGTAACCATTGATATTCAAAGCCACTGACTGCAACACTCTTGATCATGGGATATGACAAGTTAATAGGAAAACTTTATCCCTTCTCAATAAGGATTTGGTTTGCCTGCATATATCAAGAAAATAAATACATAAAGGAAGCTTAAACAAAGAAGATGTGGATATGCATACTTCACAGGTAGTGGGGAGTGGAGCCCCCTCTATTTTTCTCTTCCAAACCCAAAACATATTTTCTGTCCTTTGAGTTGCCTTAAGCCCAAAACAACTGCTAGAGTTCTAGCCGTCATCTTTATATTAAGGGCAGCAGCAGAAGAAAGTAAAGGAGGGAAAAAGGTTACTTCTACCATGAGTTTATTTTCCTTTTAGGAATCCTCTCTTTACAAGTTATTGGCCAAAACCTACTCATATGCCACATTTCACGGCAATTGTTGATGAAAAATGCAGTGTTTTGCCATCTCAAATGAAATTAGAGATCTGTTGCTGAGAACAGAGGGGAAAATAGATACTAACATGCAATTAGTCATTTCCACCGATTTCCTCACATTTCCAAGACTCCAGGTTACTTGCCTCCTTCCCTACTTACTCAGTCAAGCTACCTCAATTCTGTTTTCTTTAAAAGTCTGACTGACAGGATTGATCCTCCCAGAACAATGGTTCTCAACTTTGCTTGCACATTAGAAGCACTTGCAATATTGTTAAAAAATCCTGATGCCCAGGTCATGTTCAGACCAATTAAGTCAGAAGCTCAACCAATGGGACAGCCAGTTCTCAGGATCTTACATATATATGCACACACACACACACACACACTCATGCACACAAAGATAGTTTTATATATATGTACACATATATAGGCATGTGTGTGTGTGTATGTATGTGTGTGAATGTATACATATATATATATAGTGTTGGTAGTTCTAGTGTGTAGCCAACTTTGAGAGCCACTATCCTATAAAATTGTAAAAGAAAACAGATAACCCAAATGATGCTATATTCTGTCACTTTTTTCTGCTATATGATTAAAACATATTTTAAAAACTGCATGCCATAAGTAAGGAATTATTTTGAGTGATACACTTCCCTTGTCTGCCAATTGTTTGCCTTTGGGGTCAGTTTGCTTATAAAAATGAACACCTTCCTTTTTAACAGAATCTTCTGTAACATCTAAACCACAAGATTCTCTGAAAATTCCAATTCTTCTTTACTAGTGTTGGTCATATTTATACCTTTTTCACTTTTCACACATTCCCACATCCATTCAAACACTCTATACAGCTCTAAAATAAGTCTTAAATGTGTCCACACCTTTATCTCATCCAAAACCCACACAGCAACCAAAGAAATGTTTAAAACACACACACACACAAAAACACACATACACAAAAACACACACACACACACAAATCTGATCCTGGCATTGCTCTACGTAGATCTTTAGAATAACTCCCTACTAATCTAGGACTCTCTGACCTGCAAAATCCCCCTCCTGCCCACCTCCCAGCCTCATGTTAGGCCACTTGTTACACTATCATATGGTGGTTTATTTTCATGCCTCTCTTTCTTACAGTTATCATGTTTGCGAATCCCATGAAGTCCCCAACTCCATCAAACCAACAAATGTATTTGCTAATTCCTATTGTAGGAGGCCTTTGCTGCTTCCACAGACTGATTAGAAACCATGTTATACTTGCTGATGACCAGTTGTTTAAAGGCCCCTGATTAATTTTATATGAGGGCTGGAAACATGTTTTTCGTTATTGTGTTTCAGAGCCTAGAACAGTTCCTATCATAGATCGTGTATGTGTTCAGTAATATCATCATAAAAATTTTCCAAATGAACACATCAAACAATAAGTAGCATAAGATTCTGAAGTTAGAAAGGCAGATGGGAGACAAACAGAAACAGTCATAAGCAGCTGCTTGTAACTTAAGGGTATGTGACCCAAGTCAACATCTCTCCCTCCTTTACCGTGTTTGTGTCTCTGCAGGTTGTGATTTGATCCCAGTACAGTATCTTCGATGGGGTGACCCTGAACCCATTGCAGCTGTGGTGTTTGCCTGCCTTGGCCTCCTGGCCACTCTGTTTGTTACTGCAGTCTTCATCATTTACCGGGATACACCAGTAGTCAAGTCCTCAAGCAGGGAACTCTGCTACATTATCCTCGCTGGCATCTGCCTAGGCTACTTATGTACCTTCTGCCTCATTGCAAAGCCCAAACAGATTTACTGCTACCTACAGAGAATTGGTATTGGTCTCTCCCCAGCCATGAGCTACTCAGCCCTTGTAACAAAGACCAACCGCATTGCAAGGATCCTGGCTGGCAGCAAGAAGAAGATCTGTACCAAAAAGCCTCGATTCATGAGTGCCTGTGCCCAGCTAGTGATTGCTTTCATTCTCATATGCATCCAGTTGGGCATCATCGTTGCCCTCTTTATAATGGAGCCTCCTGATATAATGCATGACTATCCAAGCATTCGGGAAGTCTACCTGATCTGTAACACCACCAACCTCGGAGTTGTCACTCCACTTGGATACAATGGATTGTTGATTTTGAGCTGCACCTTCTATGCGTTCAAGACCAGAAATGTTCCAGCTAACTTCAACGAGGCCAAGTATATCGCCTTCACAATGTACACAACCTGCATTATATGGCTGGCTTTTGTGCCAATCTACTTTGGCAGCAACTACAAAATCATCACCATGTGTTTCTCGGTTAGCCTCAGTGCCACAGTGGCTTTAGGCTGCATGTTTGTGCCGAAGGTATACATCATCCTGGCCAAACCAGAGAGAAATGTGCGCAGCGCCTTCACCACATCTACCGTGGTGCGCATGCATGTAGGGGATGGCAAGTCATCCTCCGCAGCCAGCAGATCCAGCAGCCTAGTCAACCTGTGGAAGAGAAGGGGATCCTCTGGGGAAACATTAAGGTAAAAGTAGTGGGGGCTTAGAGGGGTGATGGCCCCTATAGCTGATGCAGAGGCGAGTGTTTCTTGGGTCTTTTAAATGGGAGAAATCTGAGTAAATAAAACCATGGGGGCAGGGTCCTTTAGGGAATGGACCTTCTCATTGAATGGTATTTATGGGGTTAATGAAATGTGGGTCCAATTACTTAAGGCAAGTCTAGAAACATGGAAGTTAAAATCTCTAATAAAGCAAAGTTACAGCATATGGAGTGAGGCTGAGAGGTAGACAGAGCAGAGTTAGGTCACAAAGCCAAGGCAAGGACCCTCAAGTCCTGAGGGGACAGAGTTACACTATGAGATAAATTCTAGTTCACCAGAACAGATTAAAAATATATATTACTAACAAAGATTCTACTGAGAGCAGAATGCCAAGAACACTACACATCAGACTGCACTTGCCTAAATCTTATTCAAGCCAGAGAGTGCTTAAATGTCCATCTCACTGAGACACAAGAATGTAGGATTTATATTTTAGCTCTTAATGGGCAAGATGAAATCTTTGGGAGATGTCTAAGCAGCTGAAAGGCACCAAACAACAAACTGACTTTGCATATAATTGTCCTAAACAACCAGTCAGTTTCCCAGTTCTCTGTTGCCTATAGCCTCATGCCACCCCAAGTTCAATATCACACATAATAGTTATTCGATAATTTCAATCTGAAAAGAATCTCGAGCCAAAAGCCAGTGATTTCCTCCCAGGTAAGGAACTTCTTTATGTGATAAATGATCCCAAAGCACTTCAGAAGACAAGATGATGTTATCAGTGGCTGGGGAAGAAATGTTGAAGTACCAAAAATGCTACACAGATTGATGATAATTGGGACTAAGGACTGCCTTTATTTAAGAAGTACACATCAAAAGGGCTGATCAAGACATCGGCTCTGCTAACTCTACTGAAATTCAACAGTATTTTTTAAAGCCTGATAAATAACTGGAAAATACGTATCTTTCAAATGGAAGCTACATATCTAAATAACATTGCTTCAACTATTCTCCTATGCCATCACTTAGCCTGCATGAAAGTCCTACTTTTCTGTCAGCGTTAAATCTTCAAAGCATGACTTAGTATGATGGTGAAGATACTGTGTCTGCTGAGGTTTGAAAATAACTCAAAGGATAGCTGAATTTTTATCCATAAGGTCCAATTCATTTACATTATTAACTTGTACCCTTACCTCTTTCAATTCTTTTCCACTTCCTTTATACTTCTCATCTCTTTTTACATACATCGTACAAGACATTCAATTAAACTGTAATTCGTGTCTTCTTCAGTAAATCCTGGCAATGGCATGGTCTGTACACAGCAGGCCTTTCATTTATTTAACCTACTGGCCTATTTTCCATCTGCCTTCCTGACTCCTCTATGAAACATTCTTTTTCCAAAATTTCTGCAATATCTGCCTTTCCTTTTGGCTAAGAAAACTTATTTTTCAGACTTTTGTTTTATCAGCTTTTCTTCAAGTCCTATCTGTAAACAAAATCTCCCAGGAAAGCCCAGTACATAAAACAAGCATGTTGATGGAGGGAGGAAATTGTGAATCTATGTCTAAGCACCTAAAAACTCACTAAAGAAAGCTCCTTAGGGAGAAAGCATGGAGTGGTGGCAGGGAACACGGGCTCCAGAGCCAGATTGTTTCAGTTTGAACAACAGCACTGCCACTTCGTCTCTCTGCACCTTATTTCTGACCATCTGACACACTGAATTATAAAAAGTGAAGGAGATGATATGTGTAAAGGCTGCCACATAGTAGGCACTTTTCTAAAAATAGCACAGTACAAAGCTAGAGAACACTGAGATTAAATACTGACAGCATCACTTACCAGCTGTGGAACCTTAAGCAAATTCACGTAACCTCTCTATGCCTTATTCCTGTAAAAAATGGAGATAATGTGTAGTGCATAGACTGATTGTGAGAACTGAATGAGTTAACGTGTGTAGTGTCTGCCACATAGTAACCACTTCTTAAGTATTTGCTATTTTGATTAACGAAGTTAACCACTCTCAGTCTTCTTTTACTCCTGAAAGTTACTGTATCAGATACACAATCTGGATGATCTTAATAACAAAGAGAGCATTATAAATGACAGAAGAAATCTATGTAGATATTGATTATACAGTCTGGGTTTTCCAGGGCATCTCCATCTTTATGTTTTCCAGCTCCTTGCTATTCTGTATAGCACATCCTTTGTTCCAATTTAAGCAGAGCAAACTCCTTAGGGGTGGAGCCCTGCTAATCACAGTGCCTCCAATACCTACCTGTACCTTGAAGGGTGCTTGGCACATAGAAGATGCTCAATAATGATTTCTGGTATGTTTGTTGAATGAATTTGGGAAGATAGTTATGTGGAAGGTATTTTTTTTGTTTGTCTTCAAATGTGCACACTCTTGCTCCCCAGTTGTCCTATTAACTTTTATAAGATTGAGACAACAGTGCCCTGTATTACAGATCTCTCTCTCACTATGTGGTCATCAGTTTCTACTCTAGACTTGGATCACTGATCTTGTGCTTTGCTATAGTTATATTTACCTAGTAACATTCAATTAATATTTTCAACTATTTCATTACTAATTTAATAAACAAAGGGGCAAACAAAAGCAACACATTTTACCAATAGTGCTAATAAATAGAAAACAGAAATTCTAAAGATTTTTGTTGCAATGTTTTAACTTGTTTTTCCTACAGGGCTATATAGTGGTTTTTGTCATTGTTTTGTTCCCACCCCCCCACTGGATTTTCCACCCCCCCCCCCACTGGATTTTGCAATCTGTGCATTTGGATGCTAAAATCTCAAGGAGGGTAAGGAGAGAGTTTTGGCAAGTGTTTGGTCTTCTTCCTGCAATCTTGGCAAATCTTGATCTGTCTATGTTATTATATCTGAGACAGGCTACAGTCTGATTATATAGACATTTCTTTTTTTGCCATCATTCAGAATATTCAAGCTAGGACCTGCTTTTGATATGGAGAAGAAAAGGGGACAAGTCAAGCTATAATTTTCTTGTATCACATGCATCTGATACCTGATCTTTTTTTTTAAGCCACAGTCCTTAGAAAGAAATGCAAACTATAATCCCTTTCCTCTATAGCTTCCATGAGTTCCAAAAATAAATATTTATTCTCTGTGATATAAAACCAAGATGGTTAGCATATTTATTACATTGTAGGATATAGTGAATTATGTAGGGATTCATCTCCCATTTGATAATTAATTGTATAAGTCACTGTATATCGCATTGTCTGCCACACTACAGCTTATATAATGGGAAACAAATAAATTAAGATGTTTCTAATATTTTCACATTTTCCTCTGAATCACTTCAATGAGTTGTGCTTCTCAGACTTGAAAATCTTAAAACACCATTGAGCCCACCTCTTGGGATGTCAAGTGGACTTAAATAGGTAAATTAAGTCTCTGGATGTAGGTATTTAGGGAGAAGCATCCACCCTGCTGGGCCCAGCTCTGTTCTGCAGCCCTCCATCGTGTGTATGAAAAAATAGACTGCTATAATCTCAGACTGGGTATGCCCTCTGTTTCTCGGTAGGGTCTATGTGTGTCCCTTCCACATAGAATGGCAGATGGCAAGGGCTCTCCATCTTAAAGAGGATACTGTATACTTCAAAATAAAGAATATAACAGTATCTAGAGTTACAGTAACTATGTCTCCCAAAGTTAGTACAGGCTCCTGGAATGGTACCTGTACAGAGATGGAAAATGCAAAGGCAGCATACTAGTTGACAGTTCCAGTTTTGGAACCACACATGGCTTTCAATTCAGCTATCAATTTGAATAAGGCACTTTAGTCTGTTTTCTCGACTGTAAAATGGTAGATAATAATTCCTATTTTGAGTAGTCAATAAGGTAATATGCATTAAGTGTTTAGTACCAGCACATAGAAAATATTCAGTAAATGCCACCTAACCTTTTAGAATTGTGTTTGCAAGTAGCAGAAAGCCTATTTTCAAACACTTATAGTCTTTGGGGTTCATTTTTTCTATGTTATAAAAAATTTTGGAAGGAGATTGCTTTGGGTGTTGGTTCAGTGACACAAAGGCAAACATTTCTGCCATTCTCTAGGCCTTTTACTAATGGTTGTAATACAATTGTCGTGGCTCCATACATCACATACTTTCATTAGGGAAAACAAAAGTTTTTTCCAAGTTTCCTAAGAATTGCCCTTTTGTCTCATTGAGCCAAAACTCTAATACAAGAGACTGTGGGCAAGTGACATCTAGCCTCTTCCACCTCTAGCATAGAAACTGAAAGAGAAAAGGGGGCGTCAAGTGTTTGTTAGATAATCCAGTGCATAGTGTCTAAAATGTTAGTACATAGTAGTAGTCACGGTGATAATGGTCATAGGAGGAGGAGGAATGGAACATAGAAGAGGGCAAAGAAGAGGAAGGAAGGAAGACGAAGGGAAGCACAAAGTAAGAAACTGGCAAAAAGTTCAAATCAGAGTAGTCCCCCAAAATGGTTCCTTTATTACCCACCTATGACGTTCTGCCACCTTGCAGAACTTTACCTTTCATATGTATTACTAGTCTAACATTTCTAATGGTCACAAAATACTGCAAGGTGAAGCAACAATCCTCCCATTCTTCATATGAGGAATTTGAGGTCCTACACGGTGAGAAGACTTGCCTATTATCTCATGACTAATGAGTCATGGAGCAGTTTTTAAACTAAGATCTTAGCTGATAATCACTAGAGCTGAGCATATATGGACTGCCTTCTTTAGAAAATTAGTATATGAGTTGAAAAATCAAATAGCTCCATTAAAAAAAAATTATTTGGTCAAAAATGTAAAAAAAAAAAAACTATTCTCTTATTGGAGACACTGAGAAGTCTTGCACTCAGTACAAGTAGTAGAAAACTATCATCCATTTGTTAACTTTTCCTAATTACTTTGCATTCACAAAGACCATTCATTTTTCCAAGTAACCCTCTTAACATTCTGAAGAACTAAT